AGTAGGGGTTTTTAGAGCTGACAAGGGTGAGACTTAAATACCTCCCCTCAACCAATAGGCATCGTTTGTCCCCATCAATGTGGTGAAAAGGAGACTCACCAAATCGTGAGCATGTAGATTGCCAGTGTGTCATCCGCATCGCATCACTTGTTAGAGTGGCATCCACAAGACGTAATTCTACTTGTCGCGTGGTTGAAATAGTGATCCTACATGGCGTATTTTTTTTAAAATAGTAGAGCGACCCTTGTTCATCTGAAATTTTTTCAATTAGGTCCCTTTTTATTTTAAAAGGGCCCTAAATTTGATCTTTTATTTTAAAAAGGTCTAAAATTAATTATTTCAATTGTTTTTCACACTTTTGTCAAATTTTGATCTTAATTTAACACATTCATGCATTTTTTAAATTACAAAATAAACAAATGAGAGCTCTCTCCTTATTGTGTGATGAATTTAAACGATTTTTAAGTCCCAGATATTACAATTCTCCCTCCCCTCCCCCCTCCCTCGGCCCTAAAAAATAAAAATTTGGACCTCCAAATCACTGTGACTCATCGAAGAAGTGGCGGTATTTAGCTAGAAAGTCTTATTCTAATTCCCGTATGGCTTCATCCTGAGCGTGATTTTGTCATATGAATTTGAAGAAAGAGATTGTTTTATTGCAAAGTACCTTCTCTTTTTGGTATAAGATATGAATAGGTATCTCTTCATAAGATAGGTCTTCTTGGAGTGGGATAAACTCGTAAGATAAAACATGTGAAGGATTAGGGTCGTACTTCCGTAACATTGCCACATAGAAGATATTTTGGACTTTGAACATCTCTTGTGGCAATATTAACCTATAGGTAGACGGCCTAATTCTCTCAAGAATCTCAAAAGACCCGATGAAACAAGGATTTAATTTGTCTTCTTTTTCTAAATCTAGTCATGCCCTTAAGAGGCATAGTTTTAAGGAAAGCACAATCGCCCACTTCGAATGCCAAATCCCTTCTTCGAGTATCTGCATAACTCTTTTGTCTCTTTTAAACCACTTGTGTAACGGCCCCGGAAATTAAAATGAAATGTATATATTTATTCTAAGTGCGGAAGCGAAATAAAATAGATTATGATTAACATCCCTTACACAATAATCAAAATGTATTAGAGATATGAAAGAATAAACTAACTAAAGGAAATATTATGAATGAATACTATAAGGAAAACTAATAAATCTTTAGGCTTCTATTCGCCATCTTCCTGCGGAACGGACTCAGGAACCAAGTCTTCCTGATCTGAAATGGTTAAGTAAGGAATGAGCTACACTAACCCAGTAAAGATGTCACACTATCTCATTGTCACAATAATAAAGGTTGGTATAAAACAAATACGACCAATAGAGCATAATTCATAACAAATTCATTTATCAATAATAAAACCCTTACTGTCACTTATCTCGGTGAGATTTATGAAAATAACTTATGAAAACAATAACATGATAAACATCATAAAATCGTGCATACTCTGTAACATAACACATATCATACTTTTATATTTCAATCATCAGACAACAAATTTCCTCTTTTATCAGCCTACTAGTATCCATAGGGATCCCTGTTACACGTGAACCATTCACCTTAATTCCAGGGCCATCCCCATACCCCGTCCGGTATGAGCACCAAAACCATAAACCTCAATACCCCGTCCGGTATGAGGGCGAAGTGGGCCGTCCCCATATCCCGCCCAGTATGAGTGCCACAATATTTAAAATCTCCATACCCTGTCCGATATGAGATACCACGTTCCCGGTAGGGTTCCCTATGGACCCGGTCTGTCTACCATCTC